CTTGGAAAGGAATATAATACATTTACGGTTTCATATGCAAACAAACCTACAAAACCAAAAAAACCAAATAGTCAAATGAACCTTTGGAATGGAGATGTCTCTAAATTTGCACATCTCACATTTCGTTTGAGCTGCCGCAGTTCTGCTCAGCTCACAGAGCACAGCGCCTTCTTTGATGTGGGCGTGCCATGCTGGGTGCTCCTTTGCCAGCGTCTCCCTTGTGCGTGTCTCGATCTCTCTCTGTTCCAGTAGAATGTAAGTTTCTTGAGAGCAGAGATCGTTTGTATTTTGTTCTTTTTATGCTCATAGTGCCTTGAACATAGGAGATGCTTAATAACTCCTTTCACAATTTAATTTAGCTGAGTTATTGTTATTGCCACTGGTGGGCCCTGCTCTGATATATGAACATCTGGGTTTACTAAGCAATGAAGAGGATGACTTCCTGGTTTGCAGAAGGATTTGTCATAAAATTCTTTGAAATACTGATTGCCTCTAGGGCACATAAAGCATGCTTTAACTTACAAAATGGTAATTTAGCACTGGGATGTCTCAGGAATACATCTATTGCCTAGAGTGAGACACCCCAGAATCATTATGGCATTTAAGGAAGACTGAAAAATCAGTGTCTTAAGCCTAGGCTGACAGTGTGGTGTTTACTGCATTTCCCTTCCTAATTGGCATTTTCTGGCCTTCACCACTTGGCTCTAAGCTGTCTTTCCACTCTTACTGCTCTGTTTGGGCCAGCCAAACTGACTTTCTTGCTGTTTTTCATGCATAACATTCTCTATGTACCTTTGCACAGTTTGTACCCACACGCCTGGAATGAATTTCCTCCTCACCTCCACCTCTTGAAGTTTCTTCTAACATTCACCTTCTGACCTCCCATGTTAGGCCTTTCCTGATCCTCCTCAGGTGTTTTTTTCCCCACCCCATGCCCATTACCTGCTACTTATTGCATATCTGTGTGTGTGTGAACACACACACATATTGTGTTCCCCTATAAAATGTAAGACCCTCTTTGGAAGGGACTTTGTATCTACCATACCCAGCACTGGCCTGGCATATAGTAGGCACTTAGTAAATGCTCACTGACTAGTTTTTTCCATTTCTGCCCTTACTATGATTCCTAGAGCGCCAGTCTCCAAAAGTTAATGTGCATGCTAAAAGTATAAGAAATCATAACTATTTCATTTAGATGCTAAACATCCCTATCTCTTTCCAAAAGTCTGTTCTTTATCCTTCATTTTTAGATATTTGTGTAGAGGGGTAGAATAATGAGTAATCTAGTAAATCCTGAGTAACGGACTATCTGCTGAAATAGACGGGAGCTAACTGTGCTTTGGAATTTGGGTTAATGATCAAAAGGCTTCCATTCATAGTCTACACACTCCTTAAAATAGGATAAATGCTCTGGCCATGCTTCTAACAAGTTTATCATTTTTTCAGGGATGATAAATAGGACCCACTTAGAGAGAAGTGCTCGTCTGCATGAATTTTTTATTTGTTTTCCTTTATGCCAAGTAACAGAAGCCAATAGCTATGCTCGGTGCTAACAGCAGCAGGTAGATTTTTCCGCTTTGCTGAGTTGTGTGAAAAATCTTGCTTCTCTCCAGCAAGAAATGCAAAAAATTCAAAAGCTGGACCCTTTTCCCCCTCCTAATAATAAAACCTGATGCAGTGGGAAGGCTTGGGTTCAAATCACAGCTTTGTCATTCCTTTCTCATGAGAAATAATGTCAAAGGGGTTGGATTCTATGGCTTCTGGCAGCTCCAAATCCATGATACTAGAGCAGAGAGAGGGAGAATTCAAAGGTAGATCAATTTAGAATACTTAGTTATCTCTTGGGTTTCTAAAGGAGAAAAGAAACCCTGGCTTGTGTTACCTTGGGTCAGTCATTTCTACACCTCGGGCCTTAGTTTCTCCATCTATAAAACAAGAGAGTTGGATTAGAGCAGGGGTGGGAACCTTTGGCCTTGAGGCCACATGTGGCCTTCTAGGTCCTTGGGTATGGCCTTTTGACTGAGTCCGAGCTGTATAGAACAAATCCTTTTATTTATGAAGGGGATTTGTTGTGTGAAGTTTGGATTCAGTCAAAGGGTCATACTTGAGGATCTAGAGGGCCACATGTGGCCTGGAGGCCAAAGGTTCCCCACCCCTGGACTAGATGGCCTCAGAGATCCCTTCTGGCTTCAGATCTATAATTCTACTACTAGAGAGGGCAGAAGAGCCTGGCTTTATGTTTAGACTGAACCTGAAAGGGTGGGGATGCCTTTCAGAAGTGAAGAAGCATAGCACAGTAGAAAGAATACTGGATTCGTAGTTAAGGGCGCCTCAGTTCTCATTCTAGCTTTGTCATCTGTGTGACCTTGGACAAATTCTTTCACTGCTTGGAAGCAGAATTCCTCATTTGTAAAATTAGGGGGTTTTGAGCTCTAAGTATATGATTCTGTGATCTTACATGGAATGAAAGTTGTCAATCCCTGTTCTCTCGTTTGGCACTGGGCTATTCAAAAGTATTTCCCTCCATATGGAGCACCATTTGGATTCATAAGCTCCTTTAGAAAAACTCAAGAATTGTAGGAAAGCTATCTATTATGATTCATAATCTATGGTCAACTACTTTAATAACACAATTGTGGAGGGATACGCATCTTTGTATAGAATGCTGAAGTCTAAAAGAAAATGCAAATACAATCTGTCCTGGCAATCCAGGCTCTCCAACTCTCAGCCCTGGCCTACCTCTTCAGACTCTGATGCCACTCTGTCCTCTCCTATCCCTGTGTGTTTGTATGTGCTGTCCCCTACTACTCAGGGCATTTTTACCTAATGCAATCTCTCTCTTCATCGAAAGCCCCGAGTGCTATGCTATTTCTTCATTTTGTCTGACAACATATACATGGCAAACAGCTCCAGTATCTTTGCCAAGAAAACCCCAAATGGGGTCATGAAGAGTTAGACATGACTGAAGATGACTGAACTGCCATAGCATATGCTCCACTAGATTCTAGTAGCCCCTCACCTCTGCCTTGAGGAAGGAGGTTCATTTCATTATCTGTTTCTTGGCACTGTTATTCGCTTTTAAATTACTCCAGAGTTTTAGCCTAGGTCTTTCTTGACCAATCACAACAAAGTCTCCCACTTTTTTTTAATGTACCAATTAAATATCACTGGATACTTTTCAAAATATTTTAGAAAGTGAGAAGATGCAGAGGCAACTAAATATTGGGGGCATCTTGAGGCAGCAGACCCAAGTATGTGAAGAGTTTGAAGCCCAAGGTGTCCAGTCCAACCCTAGAAGTTTGCCTTGACAGCCTCATGACTCTCCAAGGAATTCGAAAAGAATCATCACGAAACCCTGACCTCATTCCAAGACCTGCTATACCCCTCTCCCACAGCAGAAGGAATAAGACAGTCAAATTCTGTGTTATGATTGTTATGTGCCAGTAAAGAAAAAGAAACAGGAAATAGCACAAAATAGTTCCACCTAATTTGTCTGTTCACAATGTTGGAAAAAACTAGTGAAAATGATATTTATTTAATCTTTTAAAATTATCTCATTGATACAATTGCTCTCCTTGGGAGAGTGGAAGCCTTCTGGATTCTTATGATTTGAGGCTGCTGCCCTGAGAATTTTACTGTCCTTTGCTCAATAGATTTTCAGTTAGGATGGGAGTCCTGGGGGAAGTGTAGTCATTTAATTTCTTCCTCCCCACTCTGCTAGGGTGGACTGGAAAATTGAATAGAACTCTACCCTCACCCTTCATGTAAATTTCTGGAAGTGTACAGGAGGCAGAATGGAAAGAGGTGAACTTGGAGTCACCTGTCCTGAATTCAAATCTCGGATCTACTACTTTCTGCCTGTGTGGCCATGGAGAAGCCACTTAGCCTATGTAAAATAGAAGACACTTAATCTATTGGAGACTCAGTGTCCTCATCTGCAAGATGAGGGAATCGGACTAGATGACCTCTGAGGTTCCTGCCGGGTCTAGATGTGTGTTCCTGTGGGACACAGGGATATCACTTCAGCAGGCAAAGTGTGGTTCTGTGTGGTATAAGCATATTTGAATTATAATGGTGGGTGACTTTCTAGTGTGCATCATTCAGTGAATGACCCTAGCAATTATATGAAGTAGAAATAATGCAAGATTTAAAAATTCAGACACACTTATTGGGTTTTGGTTATTTAATCAAACAGGTCAGCAGCACAAATCACTTTTTAAAAAAAATCAATCACCAGTGGCTCATATATATTTATGACCAATCATAACTTCAGAAATATGCCTCTAATCTTCTGGCAAAGAGGTGGTGGACTAGGGGTTCAGAATGAGGTATACATCTTCAGGTATGGCCAATATATTGATTCATTTTTCTCAACTATACTCATTTGTTACAAGAAAGGTCCTAGTCTGGTGGGGGTAGGACTGGGTAGTCACCAGAAGTGACTGTGATATTTTGTGGTTTTTAAAGAGCACATAGATAAAACATTTGAAAATAGGAAGTGAGTCTGTGATTTCATGGGCATAGGGATCTCCTTCTATCATTGAAGGTTGGCAACTTAAAGTCTTAGAGACTTGCCTAGAGTATTGAAGTGAGTGACTTACCCCAGGTCACACAGTTAGTGACTATCAGAGGCAGGTCCTGAATCTGAGTCTTCCTTGTACTATACATGCTGCTTTTTAAAAAATGAAATAATGCATCTTGTGATTTATACTAAGCAGATAAAGGCCAATGTATGACCTAACAAGCGAGCAGCTTACAAACTAATGGTTATGTCCTTCATGGAGTGAAATAACATCCCCTTTAATTTTGCCTTGTTCCTTCAATGAAAGTCTAGTGATCCACGGGCAGAAGAATGTCAATGATGATCTTGGCCTTCTAACAGGACTGGATCGATAGGCCCTGTTTAATATCACAGATCAGCCTAGGCATAAATGATCACCTGATCAATTGCAAATATCAAGGGTACTAAGTTCAATATCATCTGAGGCATTGAAACCATTGGAGAGACATGTTTAATGAGGCAGAAGCTCTTGACAACCCCAGAGAACCACACTGGAGGGGTTCTTTGTCAACCTTGGCTTGATGCTGTTGAGGTGAGGGAGCCCGCCAGGCTGCTAGCATTTAGAGAGAGAGAAGGTATTTTGGGTGTGGGCATTTTGCTGAATGAGTCACTAAAACTGAGGAGGGAGCTCAGGTCTGCAAGAGACAGAGCCTGAAATAGAACTTTGTTCCCTTCAGGTTGGCCTGGCTGCCAAAAGAAAGCAGAGCTGGACACACAATGTGGTGAATTTGGAACTGTCTGAAATAAACTCTAACCTTGTGTTTTGCAGGAAATAGACAGCGAGTTACCTAGAAAAACCTGAGATGGGGAATCCTTTGGTGCCTAATGTTTTGTTTCAGGTTTACGTTATGAGACCCTAAGTGTGTAGAGAGAGTCTAGACCAGAAAAAAAGATGGTGTTAATAATCTTGGCTCCCACCTCCACACAATTCAGGTAATGGTAAGAACTTCCCAGCAGATCAAAGTCCTCTCTCCCTCCTATTAAAAAGATTAGTGCTAAAGCTATATATTCACCTATCAATCTCTCCATCTATCTATCTGAGTTCCCTCTCTATACACACACGTATATGTCTACATATATCTATATCCTTCCTCTCTCCCTTTCCCTCTTCCACTTTTCTCTCTCTCTCCCTTTCTCTCTCTGTCTCTCATATTCCCCCCTCTATAAAAATGTCTACATATGCCTATTTGCCTACATCCTTTTTTTCCCCTTCTCCTTCTTCCATTATTTCTCTCTCTCCTTCTCTCTATGTATCTATCTATCTATCTAGGGGGAGAGAGAGAGAGAGAGAGAGAGAGAGAGAGAGAGAGAGAGAGAGAGAGAGAGAGAGAGAGAGAGAGAGGGAAAGAGAGAGAGAGAGGGAGAGGGAGGGAGAGGGAGGTTGTATAAAGAGACAGAGATACAAAGACAGAGATAGAACATTGTCCTGGACAGGGGAACAACTTCCTTTCAAGGCTTCCTGGAGTGGTGCTGTATTACTGGGCATATTCCTTTTCTAATGAGAGCCAATGTTAGTAGTAGCGACCGCTTTCCAACACTTTGTGGGTAATATTTAGTCCTTGTATTATTGTGAGCCCATTTATACCAGAGGTAACTTTATATAGTGGAGAGAAAAGTGAGCTGGAAGTAGAGGACGTGGTTTAAATTCCTCCTGACACTGCCTTTCGATCTACTAGGCAAGTCATTTAGGGGCTCAGTTTCTTTATCTGTAAAATGGGAGGGGGGCAGTTGGGTTAAGTGTCCCATAAGGTCCATTCCAGCTCTCATTCTGTGGTCCTATGAAATACAAATACTTGCTGATGGTGTCTTTTTAGCCCTTAATTAAAAGCTTTTGGGATTCGAAGGTGACCCTGCTCATTAATTTCTAAAACTGAAACCTCAGTAAGAGTCAATGATCTGAGATATAGGCAGAGAACAGATACTAATGTAAACTAACTAGAGGGAATTTCAAAAGGCACAGAATGACTGGACAGAGAAGTGGGTTAGGAAGCAAAGCAGATGTGCAGCACAGTGCCTGAGCAACGTTTCAGATGGGAGAAATATTCAATTAAAGCTTGTTTATTTTAATTAAACATCAATACAGTTCCTCACCACTGGCCTCCTCTTACCTCCAGCATCAAACACAAACTCCTCTGACATTTAAAGCCCTCCACAAGCTGGGCCCTGCCTATCTTTCTGGAATGGGATATCATACATTATTGCCGGCCTTCACACACACACTCTAGCTTAGCCAAACTAGCCTTCTTGTTCTCATACCTCTGGCCCTTCCACTGGCTACCTCCCCCCCACCCATGTCTAGAGTGCACCCACCCCCTTTCACTTTTGTTTCTTAGAACCATTAGTACCTTTCAAGACTGATCCCCAAGGTGTTACAGCACCCCTACCAACAAAAATTCCTCTCTATTTATATGGTAGATACTTTTCTGTGGGCTTGCTGTCTCTCTGGATGGAATGTAAGCTCCCTAACAGCAGGAACTGTTTCATTTTGTCTTTGTATTCCCAGCTCCAACTACAGTGTCTGGCACATAGAAGGCACTTAATAAATGCTAGTTGAATGACCGATCAAAAACTTTGTTTATTAACCTCATAACTTTAGTATTTTATATTTAGGCCCAACACAACTTCATTCCATGATTAACATCATACAAGAAAGATACAAGCCTTTTTTGAAAATAGAAAAAAAAAAGGCCCCCAAAGGGAAAAGGAGCCCTAGCAGGCAAGGGTGGGGAATGACTGATTCCAACAAGTTTTATCAGATGAACCGTGGTGAGAACAGTGACATTTGGAAATGTCAGAGATGAAAACAATGAGAAAGGAAGTCAGGGAAATTGTTGAGGGAGAGTTCAGGACTCTCTCTCCCCCACACCCAACTTGCCCATTGTGACTGCTTAGCTGAGTCAGCCCAGAAGAGCAGTGAAAGCAGGGACCTCACCCACCCAATGACCAACCCTATGATGATGAGGCCAGGAAGTTCAATAGTATCGGGTTCTCCATCAGGTGGCTGAGGCAGCAACACACCCATGTTCTGCATCTCTCTCTCTCACACTCACACACACACTCACACACACACACACACACACACACACACACACACACACACACACACACTCTGGAGAGGAGATTTTTTAATGGAAAGAACGCTGGGAAAAGTTCTTGTCTCTACCAATTACAAGTTGTGTGATTCTGAACAAGTCACTTCACTTTCCAGGACCTCATTTTCCTCATTTGAGGAATGTTGACCACATGTGGAGGGCAAGGAGGAACAAGGCAGAATTAGTTGATGTTGCTGGGTGTTTGGACTGATAGCTAGGAGGATTTCAGAGAAGTGTGGGAATGCTTGGAGGTGGTGATGCAGAATAAAAAAACGAATGAAAACAATGGAAAAGAAAATGCTGACAGGTCACTGAGCTTTTATTGATTGTAATGCAAAGCATACTACCTTCCTCTCTGTAGAAGGGTGGGGGCAGAACGCTACAAAAGCTTTCGTATATCATTGATGTATGTATATCATTGATGTATCGTATCGATTGGTTTTGCTCAGCTGCCTGCCTTTGTCACTATGGAGGGATCAATATCTGGGGTTAGGGGGAAAGTATATCAGAACATGACCAAAATGTAAAAAAAAAAAAAAGAGGCATGCATAAAAGTTACATTTAATTTTTAAAAGAATTTTAAGATAAAAAAGGCAAAGTTCTCAGGAACCATAAAATGTGCTGAGAGTGAGTATTATCCAGTTTGAGCTGCACAGCTGGCTTGAGCCTGGTCACGTGGGACTAGAGGAAACTAATAATCTATTTCAGCAGGATTAACATGCTTTATGGAATTTTTGTCTTAGTGGGAAAAAAAGACCAATCTAGAGAGGTCTGTCCCACTCTTTCCACTGGTTGTGGAAATTGCTTTCCTCAAAATCTGGTACCTGGTAATATTTTTAGTTTAATGCTTGGTAGGGGAGGAGCTCAAATCCAATTTGGGGGAAGGCTTTAAATGACCTTGAGATTTTTCATAAGTCTTCCCCATCACAGTATCCTTATAATATAATAGAGGTAAACGGACCTTGGGGAGAACAGGATCATGGTGTTGGAACTGGACGGGATCTGGGAGGTCATTTAGTCCAACCCCCCTCATTTTCCAGATGAGGAAACTGAGGCCAAGAGAAGGGAAAGGCTATCTGTGTGCAGTGTAAGGAGGGGGAAACATGGAGCAGGAGAGAGAATTTGAGGAAGAAGACTGAGTTCAAAGTGTCACTAAAAGTCTTAACTCTTGTTGTCCTGTTTCTGAGTGGAAAATGAAAAATCACTGACACATACATGATGTCTCAAAACTGTTTATTATCTATTAAATTTAATATTATTATGGTGGCACAATGGATAGAGTGCCAGGCCTAGAGTCATGAAGACTCATCTACCTGAGTTCAAATTGGGCCTCAGACACTTACTAGCTGTGTGACACCCTGGGCAAATCACTTAACCCTCTTTGCCTCAGTTTCCTCATCTGTAAAGTGAGTTGGAGAAGGAAATGGCAAACTGCTGTAGTATCTTTGCCAAGAAAGCATCACAAAGAGTTGGACGTGATTGAATGACTGAACTACAACAAAATATTAATTATCTATTAAATTTGTGTATTAAATTATTATCTAAAAATAATTCTAAAAATACTATCTGAAAAGTAAACATTATTATCTATTAAAGCTTAAAACTGCACTAAGCCTTTTGGGATGTCCTATATAGCATTTTAATGTTTATGAAGTTCTTTATGGGAGTTAGGTGGCTCAGTGCACAGAGCACAGGGCTGGGAATCAGAAAGACTCATCTTCCTGAGTTAAAATTTGGCCTTAGACACTTACTAACTGTGTGATCCTGGGCAAATCACATAACACTGTTTGCCTCAGTCTTCTCATCTGTAAAATGAGCTGGAGAAGGAAATGGCAAACCATTCTAGTATCTCTGCCCAAAAAAACCCCAGATGGGGTCATAGAGTCAGACATGACTGAAATGGCTGAACAACAAAGTTTTTCCCATCCATTCCCTCAGGTGAGCCTCAGGAAATCCTGGCAAAGTGTAAAAAAAAAAACCACTTCACTCGTGAGTAAAATCTAACACTCTATCCACAATGTCTCTTAGTCGTAACTCATCTATTACTTAGTAGATAAGTTCTAGAGGGATCCCTGAGGATCAGAGTTGAAGTGAAATGCCTGTGGTCACAAAGTATATGTCAGAGACTAGATTTGAACCCCAAACTCTAAACCTGGTCTCTTTCTACTACTCCATGCTGTGTTTCACATCTATTGCCACCGATAAATGGAGGGTTAGTTGTAACAAAGGTACAAAAAGTTATTGTTAAAAAATTGTTCCAGCATATAAATGGGGGGAAAATAAAATATTATATAAAAAGTTATTGTTATATTCATTCATTCCAGCCTTTTTTCTTTTTAGCAATTTGCATATTCACTTCCCCTGCTCTCACTTATGAAGCCAGGGGACTCAGTTGGCCTGCAGTGTAAACTTGGCAGATGGAAATCTGCCCCCTTCTCTAATATTTGACACGATTTTGTATGAACCTCTAAACTAGGCTAGATACATAATAATTATGATTAACGAGCCCAGTATAAGTACTATTGGTGAAGCATTATAAGTCAATCTGGCTTTTATAGGAAAGCTGGCACCTTTATGATCTCCTTAGGTGTGATTTTCATTCACAAATACTGCATCAAACATACTCTCTGGCCTTTAGAAGTACATCATGTGAGATGCTGCCTGTATGGGAAGCTATTTGGAAACAGAAGAGGAAGTCGAGGGACTGATCCATCTAAGGGGCTGGGATTCAGTCTGAGCCAAGAAAGAAATGCTTTGAATATTTTTTCAAAGAAAACAATCTAAGAAGTTTATGTATTTTCAGGACATGACCCAAATATTTTTAGGACTTTAACTTCTCTCTATTCCAATTGATAAAGTAGTTGCACTGAAGAGATTCCTTAGAGTAACTTATTTCATCACTATACTAAAGGAGGCAGAAAAAGAGCTTCTCATAACTATTGCTTCTTAGAAGCAGGGGTGCTGGTAAATGTTTAACAACCAGCTCTCTGAGGGAAAAAAATTGTGCATGACATACTTTTAAGTTTAATCTGCAATATTAACATTTTCCCTATCACCTTCTGAAGTCTTGATAATCAACAAAATAAGAAATCCAATCTTTATTAATATAATTTGCCTCTTTCTGAGATGTAAATACTCACACTGAAAGTTTAACAATAGACTCTTAGAAACCTATTCCAGCACACCCCTGCTTAGAAATACTAGGAAAATAACTCAAAAAGATCATAAGAATTATGTAAAAGGAACTGGGGCAAATTTTTGTGATGTGAAAAAAAAGACGTCAATAAAAACTTAATTAAAAAAAAAGCCAAAAGTCTGATCAGCACCAGAACCTGTCATACCATGTAATGTGCATTTTAAAGTAAATTCCTGCCTGAATAATTTTTCAAATGTGAGGTAGTACAATGAACAATTTAATAAAAGTAAAGTTAAGTTAATTGTTTAAAAAAAAAGAATTAAGTAAAGAAATTTGGCCCTGGTACGAAAACATTTTTACATGTGACTCGCTCCATTTTCCTTTTTTTTTCTTAGTGTAAGGTAGCCATAGTATAGCACATAGGTTTATTATCAGCCTTTATTATCTTATTGTCAAATTAGATAACAATTGTAAAGTGCTTAGCACAGGACCTGGCACAAAGCAAGTGCTATATAAATGTCAGTTATGGTTGTTGTTGTTATTATTATTTTGTGTCATGGATCCCTTTGGTAGTCTGGTGAAGTCGATGTAATCCTTCTCAGAATAATTTTAAAAATGCATAATATAAAATAGGTAGGATGACAAAGGAAACGATTTTACTGAAAGTTATTAAAATGTTTTCAAAAATAAACAAGTTCATGGACCCCTGGCAGAGAGATGGAAAGTTGAACTCAGAGCAGGAAGAGCCTGGGTTCAAATCTCGCTTCTTAGTTCATATGGGCTATGTAATCCTGGGTAAGTTAGTTAGCCTTTCCCTGCTCAAGGCAGCTAAGGGATTTTATCAATATGACCTCATTTAATCTTCACAACTCTGAGAGGTAGGTGCTGTTATTATCCCCATTTTCTAGTTGAGGAAAAAGAGACAACAGCGATTATGTGACTTGCCCAGGGTCACACATCTAGCAAATATCTGAGGGCAGATGTGAACTCAGTTCTTCCTGCGTCCAAGCCAAGTGCCCTATCCATCGCACCCACCTCACTAAGAGTACTATATACTAATGAAATTAGAGGTCTAGCCTCTATCCTCCTTCTCTCTATCTCTATCCCTAAAAAAGTAATAACAGAATATCTGCCCTCCCCCTTCCATGCCTCCCTGAAGCTTGGAACTCACTCTCCCACAGATTTACCGTTACTGGGAAAAGTAGCCTTGCATAAAAATCATGTATGAACTCTTACATATGTGACGAATGTGTGTGGTCAGCGTACCTGCGTGAAGGGGAGAATATACCGGGAATAGATGTGGTCAGGATAAACTCACACATATCTCTGCCTCTGCAGAGCTGATGATGTCTTTTGTAGATAGCGCAGTACTCAGCAGCAGTGCCTGGAATATAGTGGGTGCTTAATAAATGCTTATTGGTTGATGAATAGATAGCACTTCTATCTACTAAAGAGATAACCTTGCTGGTTGTCATGTCTCCATAGTTATTGGCAGTTTTTGGCCCTCCAACTATCTTCAATGCCATCTAATACCTTATTTGCCATTTAGTGAGGGTGCTGTGGTTAGCAAGACTCTCCTTGCAAGAGAAGACATAAACTCATTTAGCCAATGGCTATGAACCATTTCCCTTCAGTCGAGCTGCATCACAGCAGGAAGCAGAGACCCCTGCTATGAAAACCCTTGAACTCTACTTTGACTCCCTCAGTGCAACCCTTCTCGTTTCATCTAGGGTAAGAGCTTTGCTATAGTTCTTAGTTCTGATACACGCCAAGTTAGAGCAGGTATTTCAAGTGCTCTATATTCTCAAAGGAGAAAGACTTGGAAGAAAATGGTTTTCTACCTCCCCCTCCCCCACCCCAGCTTACTTTTCTGCTCTTTACAAATCACAAAGGCTGGGCTGGTTGAAGAAGAACGAAAAAGTTGGTGACCTTTGTCCCACTACCCCAGCAACAAATCAAGACCTCAACTCTCTCTTATCTTTCTATGATTACATAAGCTCCTTGATTGAAGGGGTGGTTTTGTGTTTGTGCGTGCAATCCCAGAGACGATCTCAATGTCTGGAACATAATAAATATATATTGAACTGAATTGTGAAATGTTGAAGTCAATGGACACCGATGGGTTTAGTGGATACTGACTTTTCCCATAACATTGTTTATTAATGGTCATCTATTTTTTCCCACAAACAAAAGTATTCTCCCATCCCATGTCCAAAAGTGGCCAATTATTATTGATTCTACTTCCACAATATCTCTTAAATCAGTCCCCTTCCCTTCACTCACACTACAACTACCCTTAGTTCATAAACTTGTCACTTCTTGTTTGGACAATTACAATAATCTCTTTCTAAAAAAAAAGTTATAATAGCCTGTCAGCATCCAGCCTTTCCCATCTCCAATCTTTCTCCCTCATAGCTGCTAAAGCATGGGCAATCCATATCCTTCCCTAATCAAGAAGCTTTAACAACTATTCATTGCCCCTAAGATAAAATACAAACTAGCAGCTAAAACCTTTCCCAGTTCTGCTCTCACCAGCCTTTCCAGGATTATTATGCATTATTACCTATTATACAGTCTATGCTCCATCAAAATTATCCTTCTAGTTGCTCCTTGTAGATGAAAATCCATTTCCCATCTACATGGCTTTACATAGATTGTCCCCCAGGCCTGGAATGTTCTCTCTCTTCTCCTCTGTTTCTTGGAAGCTCTAGCTCCTTCAAGATTCTGCTCTGTTGCCACCTCCTTCCAAAGGTCTTTCCTGAATCTCCAGTTGCTAATGCCCTCTCCCCAATTACTCTATTATTTTACTTATCTGTCATCTTGTTGCTTCCTTCCAGTAAAACAGAAGAACCTCGAGAGCAGTGTCCAGCACACAGTAGGCATTTAATAAATGCACAGTGAGTGATTGATTCTGGCAAACTCTTAGTCGTCATTCATCCTGCCAACCCGGGCCAAAAAACTACCAGAAGGTACTGTGTTTGCACATGTTTGCTCATACATTACACTTTTCTTAAAGCATCCCATGGAAGGGAATCCCTGCTTCTTCATGGCTAAATTATGCACTTGCCTTACATCGAGAAAGGTTGTAAGACAGCACCATCTGCTTCCCAATATGGAACTTCACAGGTATGAGGAAAGAGATTTTTTTTTGTGATTCTTTTCCTCAGTGTGCAGATACTGTATGTGGAATCAGAATAAGGAGCTAACCATCTGTATCCCACACATTTTACTGCATTAGGCAGTGGAAAGCAGAGCACCAGGCCAGCAGGAGCAACAGATGCCATTCCCACATTCATGATCATGGCTAATTTTAGAACATAGATACACAATCACCAACTAACATAGAACTTGGCTGATTTGAGCTGGAAGGAACCTGAAAGATCATTTAGTTTCCCATCCTTATTTAATGGGAATACACTGATGTTCGGACAAGGAAAGGGATTTGCCTAATGTCACATAGGTGGCTGGGATCAAGAGAACAGAACTCAGAACTCCTTACTCTTGCTTCATTTAATTCAGGTAAAATTTAGAGTCAATGTCACAGAAAACTCTCTGCCAATATGAGCAATAAGAAGTGGAATTGCTTGTGTCTCAGGAGGAAGTGGGCTCATCTTTGTGGAGGTCTTCAGCCAGAGACTGGATGACCATGTGTTGGGTGTACAGTAGAGGGGATTCTTATCTGTATACTAGGTGACTACTCAAGTCCCTTCCAAGACAGGCCACTAGGTGGCATAGTGGACAGAACGTTGAACCTGAAGTTTCGAAGACCTGGGTTCAAAATGTACTTCTTACACTGACTAGCTGTGTGATCTTAGGCAAGTCACTTATTCTATCATTTTATTCATCTGTAAAATCAAGGAGTTAGACTAGATGGACTTGAAGGTCCTATTAAAGCTCCAAATAGATGCTCTTGGTTCCATCTCTGAGATTCTGTGACCCATTACACTGTAGTGCCTTAACATAATTACTTAGATTTACCTTCTGATCAGTATTTGATTGACAATAATACTAATGAGAACGTTTATGTAATCCTTTAAGATCTGCAAAATGCTTTATAAATACTATCTCATTTTATGTCCACAACAATCCGGGGAAGAACTTTTTTACAGATGACGAAAGTAAGACAGAGGTTAAATGACTTGCCTAGAATCACATAGCCAGTAAGTATCTGAAGCTGGATTTATATATATTATTATGCATACTAATTTGTAATAGCTATTCACATCATAATTAATGATAACTCACATTTATACAACGTGCAATGTGGAGTAATGGATAGAAAGCTAGCATCAAAGTGAGGAAGGCTTGGCTTTATAGTCTGCCTCTGACACCTACTGGCCACGCTGTTGTTGTTCATTTCAGTCGTGTCTGACTCTCCATGACCTCATTTGGGGTTTTCTTGGCAAAGATACTGGAGTGGTTTGCCATTTCCTTCTCCAGTTCATTTTACAGATGAGGAAACTGAGGCAAACTGGGCTAAGTGATGTGCTGAGGGTCACATAGCTAGTGAGTGTCAGATTTGAACTCAGGAAGATGAGTCTTCCTGACTCCAGGCTTGGCGCTCTATCCACTGTGCCACCTAGCTTCCCAACTGGCCACATGACCCTGGACAAGTCATTTAATCCCTTAGGCAGCTCTAGATCTAAGACCATGGGCTTCAGAGCAGGTAACTACTTGCATTAGCAGAGGGAGTTTCTTCATTAGGAATTCCCTCTGCCAATGAAATCACAGGTTAAGTTTCAAAATTAAAAAAAAATCTATAATACCACCAGCACTGTAACATTGCTTCATGGTTTTAACTTTGCCAAGGTGCTTTCCCCATCTATTATCTAATCTTTGTATTAATTTTCATATTTGTGTGTGTCCTGATATCTTTGTCATATGCGCCTGGCCCATTTTGCCCATTCTGCCGTAAATTCCCAAATTTAGACTTAGCCTCTAGGAGCAAGTTCAATATAAAGGTGAAAACAGGGACAGGTACAAATCCATTACTGAAAAGGTCAAGGGAATCTGGAAACCCTAATCTGGGAAAGAGAATATTCTTTGCACACAGCTCCCTCTCCTGGCCATCATGTGAAGTTTACTTTTAAACAACCCATTTTTAAAAACCTAAATCCTTTCCCTTTTCGTACAGAATCTCCGAGTTGGAAGGGATGGCTCTCTGCTGGTATCCAGTCCAACCCACACCTGAGAGAGCCCATCAGCCTTTGCTGAAAGGATTTTATTGAGGGGGAAGCTACCAGCGGCTGAGGAAGTCCATGGCCCTTTGGGACATCTCTAGTTGGGAAATATTTCCTCCCCATCCTGCATTTGTGTCTTTGTGACTTTCTAGTCCTGCCCTCTAGGAGCAAACAGGACAAGTCTAACCCTCTTTGCTTCATGGCAACATTTCAAACTTTGGAAGACAGGTATCACGTCTCCCTTACGTTTTCTCTTCTCCGTCACTGAATCCCGTGCGCCTTGAACTTAAGGTCCTTCACCATGCTGGCCGTCCTGCACTGAACAGCTCCCACCTTGTCAGTGTCTTTCCTCACATGTGGCACCTAGAACTAAATATCACAATCCAGGCGTGGTCTGATCAATCAAGTGATCGAGCATTTATTAAGTGCTTCCTGTATACCAAGCCCCTTCCTAAGTCCTAGAGACACAGAGAAAAACAAACAGTCCCTGCCTTCAGGAAGCTTACATTCTGAAGGGGAGACAACCTATAAATAACTAGGTACATTCCGAATATACGCAAGTTAGATGGAAGATCATTTCAGAGGGGAAGGCCCTAGCAGAAGTGGTGGGGTGGGATGGAAACAAGGAAAGGCCTCCTGCAGAACCATGGGATCACAGCTTTAGAGCGGGAGGGCCCTCAGAGGCCTTCAGGTCCAAGCCCCTCTTACAGGAAAGGAAACTGAGGCCTGGAGTTGGCTGAGTGATTTGCCCTGTGTCACATAGCTGGGAAGTATCGGAGGCAGAATCTGAGCCAGGATTTTCTGACTCCAAATCCAACGGCCCTTCCACGAAGCTTTGCTACCTCTCAGAGGGGAGGACATGAGCGGAGACTTCTAGGAAGCTGGGGAAGCTGGGTATCAGATGGGGAGGGAGGGCCACCCTAGGGGCTGGAGTGTCCCGTGCGGGGTAGAAGAAGGAAGCCCGCATCACTGGGTCATTGAGTGCTTGGGGGATGAAGCGTAATAATAGTAATAACAACACATTACTGTAATCACAAAAATTGTTATAATATTCATGCCAGTATAACCAGTAATTAAATATGAAGTAACATTTATTATTATAATATAATTTATTATGATTATCATAATAATTGTTATAACAATACTGGCTAGCATTTATCTAATGCTCTAAGGTTTGCCAAGTGTTTAGCTTACGCTGCCTCAGCTGATCATTGTTTTTCAGTGTGTCTGACTCCTTGTAACTCAATCGGGATTTTCTTGGCAAAGACACTAGAGCGGTTTGTCATTTCCTTCTCCAGCTCATTTTGCAGATGATGAAACTAAGGCAGAAAGAGTTTAAGTGACTTGCTCAGAGTCACATAGCTAGTAAATGTCTAAGGCAGATTGGAACTCAGATCTTCCTGATTCCATGCCTAGCACTCTATCCTCTGCACCATCGACCTGCTTAGGATGACTGGACCTAAGGATGACCAGAGACACGACTATTACCAAAGTTCCAGAAAAAGCACAGATTGGTATGGGTAAACAGAAGGTTGATTTAATTTCCAAAACCTTTCTGCAGATTTAAGAGGGTACCAAAAGAATTCTAAGTAAAATGGAGCATCTATCACATCGTATTGATAGGAATTAACTATGACTAGGATGGGATAACTGGGGCTTTGTCCCAGGGTACTGACATTTAGTTAGTATTTTTTGAATTACAAAAATTTAAAATAATGATTTGAAAAGATTGTAAGGTTGTAAAGTTTTTTACATTTCCATTTTGACAGCACCTTCAATCCTTCAGCAACCTAGACACTGGTTAGCAAGGACAATCAGTTAAATTGGGAAGTTACCAGACTATACCAGGAGAAGCATACCATTTCATCTCCTCCCTGGCTGAGCCCAGTCCTGATTCTTACTGAGCAGTGACTTTCCCATTTTCTTGTGGCATGCTAGGATCTTTCCCAACAACAGTCACTGTTTTGGGTCTTTCTGTGGGAATTAGAGGTTGATATCCAGTGTTTTCTCCCTAGTCAACATAGGCCTGGTATCTTGGGCTGGCCCCTTTCATGAGGGTGTATCGCAGGGTTTTTCCCTACCACAGGACAGTATCCTAGGGTCTCTTCCCATCTGATGTCTCGGGGTTTCTTCTGAGAGACCAGATCAGGGTCTAGAGTCAGGAAGACCTGAATTCAAATCTGTCCTCAGACTCTTACTAGCTGTGTGACCTTGGACAAGTCTGAGATCACGTCCTACATTCTGAGAGGTAGCAAAGCTTAGTGGAAGGGCCATTGTATTTGGAGTCAGAAAACCTTGGCTCAGATTCTGTCTCAGATACTTCCTGCTATGTGAGATAGGGCAAATCACTCAGCCAACTCCAGGCCTTTATTCCAGACCAGGGTCTGCTGTCCTCCAGGCTGACTTGAGGGCATATTTGATGATACTTATCTCACGCATAAAAATTACAGTTCTGTCTCTGATAGGTATTAACAGTCATTACAATTAATTGCTACTCTGATGCCCGCTCCTTCTACATTGTCTTCCTCTAATACCTCATTTTGGAGTGGGACTCATTTTTGGGCTCCTGGAGATTATACCATTGGCTCACAGAGTCCCATAGGCCCTACTTAACTGGAAAGACTTTGAGACTTTTAAAATTGGTCTCTGAATCATGTCTACCATCTGATGACCAGCTTGACTATGTTCAAAGAGGTTGAAGACCCAGGTGGCTATAGAATGATGCATTTTTTGGCCTCAGCAATTCTATAAGACTGTTTATACCAAGTTATAGCAGTCATCAC